CTTGACTAGGTGTTGGTGTCAAAATGTAAAAATTCAGTTTATTAAAACAAAAGTTACAGACGCTTCGGTCTTTCTTTAGACCATTCTCTGTGTATAAATAGAAAGGACTAGTCGGCTTTTTATTTTATTTACCAGCTTGATAACTCCAAAACTTGTATCTCGACGAAAAGATGACCTCTCGATCGGCAGTCGTAATAAATCCGGACACGGCTTACATTTTACATCTTGTGTATTGCGTTGCGAGCGAATTTTAACCATTGACTTTTACATTTAAATTATCTTCTTTTCTATTTATACACTGAGGATGGTCTAAAGAAAGACCGAGACGTCTGTAATTTTTATGTTTTAATAAACTAAATTTTTACTTTTTTGATACTAACACCTAGTTAAGGCCAATGTCCACAATACTAGAACTTGGTCCAAGTTCTTGGATTGAAAAATTTGTAACCAATCAATTTGTAGCTTTTACGGAAAAGCGGCAATTTTATTGGCTATATTTCTCGGACCAAGGACTTGGACCAAGTTCTAGCATCGTGGACATTGGGCTTTAGCCCCTTTTACTCATTGATTTTTATTCTTCAGAGCCGTATTCTCTTATTTATATCTCGCCGTATATGATCATATTCTCCTGTTTTTCCAGTTCCGACCGATTGATCAACGATCAAATAAGTATAGCGATGGAGACGCGAGATCACCTGATGACTCAGAGACAGGCGTTCAAGCGTATACGAACCCGATTCAACGATATCTCCAATCGCTTCCCGGCGGTGAACAGTCTGCTGCAGAGGATAAATCTGCGCAAGAGACGAGACTCCGTTATACTCGGTCTCGTCATCGGCGTCTGTACGTTTTTAATGCTTCTGTACGCCTTTCATTAGAGGGTACCGAGATACTTCCATCTCCAAGTAGCGATCACTTCATCGATGAATTTTTGCAATACGTTTCACAGCAAAAGATATACATACGTTTAAGAGGTATTACGGAGATCTAATAAACACGTAGGGAATTTAGCATAATAGGGTGTGCGAGGATTGTATTATGTGAGTCGCGCGAATGACCGGAGGCAAGCGTATCTTTCGCTTCCATTCGGAGTGCATGAGAAGTTCGTCTGTATAGTTTTTTTTTTATACCGAAGAACAAGACGTGGCAATATACAATGTAAGCGGAACTGTCGTCCACGTTCAACACGTTAACTTAATAAATGTTAAAGCATAATGGCCTTGTCTCTGTCCGTCATCTGCACCGATCGTGTGAATTTAGTTGGTGTCCCCCCCCGAGTCGGGTTTAGAAGCACATCGCAGTTGGTTTACACTTTTTCTCGTGTAACGGTGAGTTTGTTTCTTTGCAAGTAGGTTTCGATGGACAATCTTCAGGGGCCTTTGCGGTAAAATCATTGTATTTCTTATAAACCAATAGTTTTGCATTCTGCGCCACGTAACACACTTGACGATAACACTAAAAAGAAAAGGACGTATGCTGATCTAGCAGTTTTTCTGTTATGCAAAAAGGGGGGAGTTTAACGTCGATCGATAAAACGCAGAATGTGGGACCTTTAAAAAAGAGCTGTCGGACGCGAAAACGGTGAGTATCGCCGTCGCTTTTTTGTTTCGGGCATAAGAATTGGTTTTACATACACAGAGACATTTATACATGCATATATACACGCGGCGCACTCGCTCTCACTCGTGAGTCATCCGCGAAAACACAGCACGTTACGAAAAAGGAATAAGTCATTTCACTAGAAAGCGCGACGCCTGTTTCCACGTGTACTAGATACCACATTTATAAATCGCGTCTGGAAGATATAGGAACTCAGGCGAGATTGTAATTGTAAAAAAAAATATCGAATATAAAACGCGCGTCTCGTACATCCTAAAGTTTTTCGCCTCTCTTACAGCCTCGATATATATATTTACATTTAGTTCGTTCAGAGCCTCCTATAAATTGTATCACGACTTCCCGCATTAAGGTCCTCCCCTTGAATTAAATTGCCGCCCGATCGCGACTCGCGACACCCAACCCCGAATTGAACGCGGTTTAGTACCCTCGAATCGCATCTATACTCCCGCTTCCCGTATTTCGCTAAAGTAACGTAGCAATAATTAATATATCACGCTTTACGAATAATTGATAACAGCTAAAGGAATTAAATCTACGACGAGTCTCGCTCTAACGCTTAAAAATGTCGCACTTCCCTCTCCTTCCTCGATCGTCGCGAAACGGTACCGATAGTTATTCGTTGGATATTTTATAATCGGATGTTGCTTCCTTTTCTGTTGATATCCTTTATAAATGTAATATGTAGTCGTTATCCAGTGAACACGCAGTCATCCCTACCGCGGGATGATTCTTGTCGATGAAGATAACTGTGGAAACAGGTGGGTGACAAATCTCTTTCTCTCTCTTTCATTCCTTTACCATACACAGACGCATCACGCGCACGCTCTTAAAAGTTATATCACTAAAATGAGGACTCTAATCACGGCTTGTCTCTAATTAACTGTTCGAATAGTACTCTACGCTCTAAACCTGCATCTTTGAAGATTTATTATACCATTAGAGATGATGAATCGCGAGGCCCATATCACCACTCGTTCTTCAAATCTCGTTCAAACGTACAAACGGACAATCTACATCCAATATACATGCAGGCCGCACCGGTTGCTAGTTTATGCATCTGAATATAAATATATCGGCTGTATGTACTATTTTCTTTCAATCTAATTTCTTTTTTCCTTTTTTTTAAAATGTTTTAAGGCTAATTAGTTATAGGTGGAGATCGTCGAGAGAGACGAGGCGCGTCGTGTCTCGGACAATTTCAGAAAATATCTCATTGAGGTATATAGGAAGGTATCAAGCACAGAACGTATCACTAACGTCTCATTTAAATTTTGTTAATATTTATATATATTACATATATAAATATATATATATAATTAAACTAAATATGTTATATATAATTACACATACATACATATTAAATGTATATGTATGTATGCGGCTTACTTGTTCAAGAAAAATAAAAGATTGCGATTTTGTAAAACCAAAACTTGTGGATATCACAAATACTTTCCTATTTCACTTCCACAACATAAATATTTCACCTACAGGCTAAGCGACAGGCATTTCCCACATATCGTATGAAGATTAGGAGTGACTTTTCTCGCGGTACATTCAGCAACACGGACGATAAAAAAAAAAAAGAGGATACACTTAACGAAACACTCATTCTTAACTGATTTGTTCTGTCGCAATGGTAAAAACGAAGTAACATACAGAACACGTAACTTGGCACTTGCACACTAATTGTAAGTCGCGCCTTCCAAGTTCTACGGTAGAATCGGAGAAAGCACATCCGCGATACCCATGTGTGTGTGATCAACCTCGTCTCTCCAGATCCAGATAATATTAATGATAGTTTTGTAACGGTAGAGCACTAGCACTAATATATAGCTGTAGTAATTTATAGTAATAATGGTAGCTATAGTAGTAACGGTAGTAGCGTGTATGGTATGTGTCGTGTATGTGACGTCTCTTTAATTGCTCGATCGATCTGAACGATCAAACAAGTACCAAAGCTGTCGCGTATACCTCTATACTTTCCGAAGAGGATCGATTGCTCCGGTCGTCTTGCTACTCTCAATTAATCCCGTCCCTTCAACAGTTATCACTGGTTAACTGGATTTACTGGCACTATCGCGACGACAACAGTCGACGCTCTTCGGACGTTAGCGCTACGGGCTAACTTAAAACCGAACGTCTCCCTAAATCGCATCGACTATCGATTATACTTCGCGTTTTCTACAAGGAAAATACGTGCTCTGTCGTTCCTCTATGCGATCACGCCCGCTCGCGGCACATTCGAGACAAATAGAGTCTGTACTCGGCCTACTGCGTGCCACACGTAACGTCCGTCCGCTAGAATCTCACGGGCGAAAATATGATTAATATGATTAATGGCGTAATCGAGAAAGAAAATGAATGTCTTCTAATTATAATCAGCGTGGCAGGAACGTATATGTGGGAGATGATAAAAGAATCTACTTAGAAATCTACGCTGGTGTGCGGTGGGTGAATGCTATAATTTCTCGCGATTATATAGACGTGACAAAAAAAAAACAGCAAATTGCGATCTTAGCCTTGTCGATTGTTAATCGGAAGCGTTTGCTCGTGTCTCGCGCGCTGATCGGTAGATTCAATTTGGAATCTATTCTCGGTAGCGCATCTCAACAGTTCCAGGTAAGTAATAATAATATATACGCGAACACGCTCGATCACGGTTGTGCTCGTCATTCAGTCCTTTTTTTCGCGTGTGGACGAAAGGTTTAGGAAATAAGAGGAATCCTCCTACAGTCACGGCATACTACGTCACGTCGAGAGCCTCACTTGGTCCTATTTATATCTACAACGATAAAGGTAATGTTATTAACTCGTAGATATTATCGGGGGAGGACGAGCTTACCCTTGACACGAGAGACTCGGCGCTTAAAACGTCTGTTCCTCCACCTTCTCCGCGTCGGAGGAGAGAGCCTGACGTAACGGCTCCATGCAAGACTTCGGGATAAGCGTCCCGACAATCTTCAACCCTTCATCTGCCACAGACGGAAATTGTTTTCAGATCTTTTTGGGGCATTGAACGCAACATTGACCAGCCATCATAATTGTCCAGCTCGACTTACCCGTACGCAGTCGTATAACTTGCATCTTAGAATTATGCCCAGATCGTGTGGCGAGCACGTTTTCCACGCGGCTCCAAACGCTCAGAACTGAACCGGCTAATACATTATAGGAACGTCTTCTTAGCCCCACCTCGCAGTCTATACCGATAGTGGAGTTTTTACAGTTGCCGCTCCAATACGCGTGCGAGCACGTGTTTACGGAGGCCTCGTACTGCTGCGTCCAGTGCGGCTCTGCCTCGTCGGTGCTCACCTTCTTGTACTTCTTCTCTAATTCGCCCAGGGACTCCTGCCGCAGCTGCAGACCCGTGTTGGGCCTGACGAAACACAATCGTTAGCTTCCAACGTTCAAGAGTTATAACGCACACGTTTACCGACACACAATGGAATTTTAAACGACCGTTACCTGTATATCATATAAAGCTGATCCTTTTTGCCCTCGGATTTTTTCTTGCTGCTGTCCACCACGACCGCGAGAATGGCCGTCTGCTTGCCATTGCGGATCTGATGACTCAGATAGAAACCCTCCTTGGATCCAGTCAGCTCCGCGAATTTGTCCGTGACCTCGGACCAGCTCATACCGCGCTCGACATGGACCACGTGCAGTTCCGTCGGCGCCTTGCCGGTTGCGTGCTTCCTCAGAAACCGGTAAAGCCTTACCCTGCGCACGTTCTCACCCGAGGTGCCTAGGTCAAGAATACCCATATCGAAGCGCCCGGTCTTCTTAGCTTGAGTCACGATCGCGTTGAGCGTGTCGGTGAAGTACTTGAACAGACGATTTTGCAGATCGACTGGCATCCCGAGGATGCGATTCAAGAACTTCGACATGTTGTTGTAGTCCTTGTCGAGCGTCAGCACACCGGGCGTGTTCTCGGTATTGCAAATCAAACCCACGCCCACTAGCGCGTCCGCGACATCCTTGAAGAAGTCACCGTGATAATCCTGGGGCGGCGGCACCAACGGCGGCTCGTACCTGAAATCATCGAGTCGAATTAAATATCCATGCGCCACATGGACGATTCTTCAGTGTCGCTCTCAACCGATACAAACCCCATGATGGTCTTCATCGTCGCTTCCAGAGCCGCGCGACCGTACTTGTTGTCGATATTGAACTGCGAGAGATCTCGTGTCTCCGTCGCGCGACGATCGCCGTGCGTTAACGCGCCCAGACTCTCCAGACGCTTCGCGACGATCGAGGCGAACCGCCTCTCCCCGGCCAAGTCCGATATAAGAAATATGTACTCCGGCGCGTTGACCTGATTCGACCGATGCGTCCGTCCGAACTGCTGTATCGCTCTGTCCGCGCTCCACGGCAGCTCGAGCGTGATATGCACACGTCGCATTTGATTTCTAGCTCGCCTGTCGCTTTGTAACGATATACCGCTACTGGCCGCTTCGGAGATTATCGCTACAGTCTTCTCGCCATCCATAAACCTGGCGCATACGAGGATATTTCATCAAACACCCAACTCGCGAGGATCGACACAAATTATGACCAGTATACAATAATATTATACCTTTGCTTCTCCGTTAAATTGAGAGTTTCTAAAGGAACGTCCACCTCAGACCTGGACTCGTACTCTATTCCACCGTCTTCCCTTTGCACGACGCGGCCCTTCCTACCAGTCATCTCCGCGACGTTTTCCGGCCCACCGAGTTCGTCTATCAATTGGTCTAGCGTGTTTGGTGGCAACCGATCGCCAAGAATCTCTATTTGCGACAACAATTCTTCCTTCATGCTGCAGGCCCTCTCGATAGCGTCTCTAGGCGGTGCCTGATTATAAGGCAGACTTCCGCTCATGGCGCTCATCGGCCCGCTGATCGCCGTGTCGCCATTGCGTTTACTTTTATTGCTGGACTGTTTGTGCACCAGCATCGACTGGATTTTATCCTGCGTGCTCAGACGCTTCTTCGCGGGTTTCTTCTGCTTCTTGCCCTTTTTCTTCCGCCTGTCCCAGGGATCTGGGAAGAAAGTGAGGACATAGAAAATATATTTCCTCTCCGATTAAACACGGTCACGTGAAAAGCTTGCACGATTGCCACTTACCGACGTCGGAATCGCTGTCGCTGAAGAACGGATTGAAATCGGAGCTGACGTTGCTCTCCTCGTCCGTGTGATGATCGTCCTCGCTCTCAGTGCCACTTAATTTGTACTCTGAGCCAGAACTGTGAGCGCCGTTCCTTTCCTCGTCCGAGATCTCCTCTTCCGACGACCAGGAGCGCACCTTCTTCGTCGCACGCTGCGCCGCTTGACGGACCGGCTTCCTCTTGCTGCCTCCCGCAGAACCGCCGGCACCGTCCATATCGTCATCCTCTAACTTGAACTTCGGCGGCTCTAGACCGAGGAGGCGCTGGATGCGATTACGATCCGGCGCTGGAAAGTGTTTCTCCACCAGCGTTTGTAAAACTCCCCTGCAAATAATTATTAGATACGTCATAAATGCATATCCGAGATCTCCCGTTTTCCATGTCTAAAACACCACTGACTTTGCGGTAGAAACGAAGTCGCTGAGCTCGCCGTCGTCACGTTCCAGCTGTTCCAAGGTGCGCGCCTCGCCGGTAGACTGCAGGCCGATCACCACGCATTTACCACATTTGACCGCCTCGCGGGCAACGGCCACCGCGTGCTTCACCTTCGCGGCGATACAGAGATACTTGAAGAAACGCTGATGCGCCGACCAGAATTGGCCCCACATTGTCTTCTTCATACGATTCTCGGCGTCTATTAGCTCCGCCGCTTCGTGGAACCTCTGCATCGCTTCCACCCACTGGATCGTCGCAATCGTGTGAGATTACAAGGTGCGAATGCGAACGAATGCGTTTGTACTCTCGCGTGACTCACCAGTCGCACCGAATGATCGTAGACCTTGGTAAAATCCTTGGAAAGCGGCACTTCCTCGATCTTGAAGGCAACACCGTGAAAACTCAATTGCCGAGCGATATACATGCCGCGCAGCTTCATGTCCATCGCTACGATCTCCATCGCGCCGACTCCGCGCTTCTCCACGGCAGTGATAAAGCCATTGAACTCCGGGAAAGGCGTGCCCTCACCCCACATACCCAGTCGTACCATGTAGGCCATATTGCGGGGTTCGGAGGCGCCGGTTGCGCTGGCGTATACGACCCTAGACTTCGGAAGCTTGTTCTGCAGCTCCAAGACTGTTAATCCTGCGCAAGTTTTACATTGTCGGTAAGATAACTTCAGGCTACCTGTATAGACACTTGGAAAAAGCTTTTGCACACGAAAAATTCTACTCCAACCTGTCTTAGTAGGTTTTGAACTTCCGGTGGGGCACAGATTCTTCGCTCGATGACACTCGTCGAAAATTATCAGACCGTCGAAATCTTCGCTGCACCATTGCAACAGCTGCTTCAGTCGGCTCTTATATTTACCGCCGCTCTGCGACGACTCGCCAATTAATGCGGAGTACGTGCTGAAGATCACACCCTTCTTCACATTACCGTTCACGGCTGACGAGATTTTCGCGTACTTAAATTTATTCAAAGGGTGTACCTGCAAGCCGATTTATTCACTGCAATTTGCGATCGACTCGTCTCGTCGATAATTATCTCACATTAAAATGCAACTAATGCTGACTGCGAAACTAAAGCTTTGATATTCCGACAATAATATTCAGTATACATTCAACGTAATCTAACGCAGACAAATTACGTACTTCTATTTTCGATGCACCTATGTCCTTCAAATCGCGCTCGGCGTCGTATTTCAGATCGTTCGACACCGACACCCAGATGGCACGTTTTCGACCTTTCAAGTAATTCTCAAATATAATACCGGCTATAGTCCTGCCCTTACCAACGCCCGCGCCGTCGCCGATCAGAAAGCCGGCGCGTGTGCCGTCGGGCAGGAGGTGCTCGTGCTGTTGAGCAGCGTACGTGATGGACTCGAGCTGAAGCGCGGAGAGCGCGCCGGTTCGTATCGTCTCCTCCGGTATGGAGAGCTTATACCAGACGTCCGTCGGCTCGACGCTCGACAAAGACGCAGTTTCCACAACTGGATCCGGATGCTTTCGTCCAAGTTTAACTGTTAATCGTGTCACAGACGTTAATTGCAAGCAAGCAGCCGAGTTAAACGAGTTAAGCGAAACACTGAGCGTACGTTTTGGCGGCATATAATCGGCGTAAGTCTCGGCGACACCCATGTCCTCGTCGTCCACCTCTTCCTCTTCCGGAATATTTGGTTGCATCAACTTTGTCGGATCGCCCGAATTCATCCACATTTGCGACACTGCTTTCCCTGCAATCAAGTTACAAGTAGTACGGGCTCGCCCTTTAACACGTTTCTTTGCATCTTTATCGGCATATCGCAAATACCTGACAGCCCAGACCAATTGGGGCTTATTCCAGTTTGATTAAGAAACTGCACGAAAGGATTAACCCCCATGTTCATTCCAGGCACACCCATGAAACTACCCATAAAAGCGTTCATGTCCATGCCTAGGGAATAATTAAATATCACCATCGTATAACTACAGCAATTGCATTTTAAGATAAAATTTCATTCGTCAGTGATGTATGTGCACGGATAATATTCATACACACATCTTCCGTAAGAAAAACAGAAATGTTATCTAAAAGCCAAGCGACGAGAAGTTTTCGCGTAAAATTGATTAGCATGAAAAAGGAAGACGTGTACTTGATTGAAGAAACGCGGCAGGGTTGAATCCTGTAAGAGGCAGTCCTGGTGGAAAAGCGGGATATCCAGCCGCTAGTTGCTGATTCAGTTGATTCAACTGACCGGCGCCGACAAAACCTGGCGGGGTTTGTCCCTGAGAGCCACCGACGCGCACCATTTCGTAACCCGGCCCTGCGGCCTTCATCACCAACCCTCCGGGAATTTTGTTGCCGAATTTTTGGTTCAATTCTAAGAACAATTGTCGCAGAGAATCAATCGATTTTCGACAAGACGAGACGGACATTAACAAAAGCGTAGCTCCGCGTCCGCCTACCGTTTAACGCCCCCTGCGTTTTCTCCAAAGATCCAAGGTTATCCAAAGAGCTCTGCAGGTCCGCGGACTTCTCATCTTTGATGCTTCCAATCACAGCGGCGGTCGCGAGATCTTTGCCGCCACCTAGTAATTAATTTCTCACATCAGGTTTCGAGAACTTTATACAAAAACAATTGCGTCGTCTCGCGCAAAGTGACGACCCTTAAACCATAAATCTACAATGTGCTCTTTGCATTTAGAAGCTTGCATAGACGCATCCTATTTTGTAGACAATAAATATGTTTAAGAGATTTTTGCAAGTTGATAAATTACATATTATACATTGTACAATTGTGCATTGTCGACAAAGTTTTTAAGCGTTTTGATTTGTTGATATAAAATAGAATGTTTCTAGACGCAGAGAGCACATTGTAGATCAGGCTTTCGAGTCCTGTTGCGCCGAGACGCGCGCAAAGTGTAAGCTCGACAATTTACCAGGCACTTCAATTTTATCGGGATCCTCTTCGTCGTCAAAGTCACTCCCGCTGGTGTCATCGCTCACTCCGTCGTCATACTTCTTCGTCGCCTGCAAAAATACACGTAATCAGCAGCTTCCATGCGAAAGTTAAAAAAAATGGAATCGAAAGGGCAAAAGGAGTCATCCATCCGTGGGAATGCCCGTTCGTGACACCACGGCGTACAACCTGCCAGAATCCAAACTGCGAGGCAGACACCAGAGTCACAGATTAAATATTAAAATCTCATCTCCGAATCCCAGTGGCGTCTCAGGCTGAAACGTGCGTCGTACACGTTAAATTGAAAGGTACTTCAAATGAACGAGGCGAGCGTCTGCGACTCTGGCCGCGTGGTGAGTCATTAAGACGCGAGTACACCCGCTGTTCGAGGGGTCAAAAAAAAAAGAGAGAGAGAGGAGGGCGTCGCGCGCACGAGAGCCTCTAGGTTAGCCGTTTCTCTACGCGGGCGAGGGAAACTGAGTACGGCCGAATTACGCGCTGCCCCCCTCCCCGCCCCCTCGGCGGGAAGCGCGTGCCCTGGACCTGGAGACGTACCTCCGTTTCCCTCTCGCTCTTTCTCGCGGAATCGGAAGAGCCAGGAAAAAAAAAAAACAGCACCTACCATGACAAACCGAGTCGCCGCGAGACCTCGCGCGCTATCTCGTCGTGGTGCGCAGCGACGCTAGGGACGGCGAGGACGAGGACGGCGACGCCTTCGGCGAGGTATGCCGCGCTGGCACCCTCGACAGTGCTCGCGGGTCCCGGGATAACGAGCGGGATATCCTTCTTTTTCCTCTTTTTGTTTCCTTTTTCTTTCGACCCGGTTCGAGAAAGAAGAGCGCGTGCTGAGTCAGGCGGGCATCGCCGACGGCGGGACACGGCGTCGCGCGGCGAGCTACGGGGATCGATGTGACGTTACGTGCGCGATCCACGGCCGAGCCGGTCCATCTCACGCGGTTGTCGCCGGCGGAAAGCAACGCGCGCGCGCGCGTGCGGTTCACAGCTCGAGAGCGCGTTCACTCGGCTGCACGGCTGCCGCCATCTTGGGGCCCCGCGTGACGCCCCGTCCCGGCAACCCGGTGCCCATCCCCACCCCGCGACCACCCTGAACGTTGCGGCGATACAAAAACACGAGCGCGCGCGCGCGCGCTGTTGCCGGATCGTCGACGAATAAGGGCAGACTCGTAGGGCGCGCGAGCCGAAAAATCGCCGCGTTTTACCGACCGATCGCCGCGCGGCAGGACCGGGAGGGCGGGCGGATGGGAGGGAGGGAGGAAGCGCGAGATTCGTTTTCTTCCCTCGCGCCGGCAGAGGAAGGTTCGCGGGAAGCCGGGAGCGTAAAATCCGGGAGAGACGCGACCGTCCGTCGGCGTTTCCGTGATCGAGCGCAACTCTCGCCGACCGCCCGATTTTTAAATCGAGATCGCCCGCGAGCGCTCACGGAGGCTCGCGACTCGAATCGATATCCGCGGCGACGGGAATCGCGGATCGGCATTGATGTATCCGTCGAGGCGGCGGTCGCGGTTCGAACCGGCGCTGCTTTTGAAAAAAAAAGAAAAAGAAAAAAAACGTATCCAAAAACTTGTGTAACAGCATTTCGTTGCACGTACCATTTCAAACGGGCGATTCCAAGAATTGAGATGTCGTCTCGCGCCCCTGCGTCGGCGAAACGCCACGTGAAGCCGCCCGTGAAGGGTCGAACGGTCGACGATCGGACGTTTTTAACGCAGGACCTGTTTAATCGAGCACGTGTAACCCGCGATCACAATGCGACTGTGACGGCGACACCAGACGACACGAAGCTGCCGTTGCCGACGTCGACGAGACACTATCAAAGTCCGCCGGTCGCACGTAAATTCACGCCAGCCTGCGAGTTTCGCGCGCGGCCGCGCCCTCTTGGAGAACCTCGCGGTCGGAGCGCGAACCGCCGATCCAAGTCGACCCGGTCGATAACTGCGGGACGGCAGTTTTACAAAAATACGCAATATCCCCGCGTCGCAGGCGCGTAAATACTCGAGGGACCGCGGAACAACAGTAAATCGTGGAGTCGGTTTCGCGCTACGGGCTAAACGTGCGAAATTATATCGAATCGCTCGCGAGGGGTCGGTAAAGTCGGGTCTCTGTTGTTACCACCGAGTCGCGCGACCGACCGCGGATTCTCGAGCACGACGTGGCGCGTCACACGACCGCGTGCTCATCGGCTTACGCTTGGGGGTTCGACGACGGCGGACGTACGCTTGGCAACGCCGCCGCTGCGTGCGGCGCTGATCGTTAGTCGATTTAAAGTATTCGCGCTAAAAAGAAAAGAAGCCGCGCCGGGCGAATTTGGCGCGCGGACGCCGATCGGCGGCGCGCGATCGCGAGTCCCGCGCGGCCGCGCGTCACGCGACGCTCCTGGCGGCGCCGGCGACTGGCGCGAGCCGCGCGTGCCCCGCTCCCCGCGACGCGATCGCCGATAAATCATGTCTAAAAAATAATAACGTCTCGCGAGCGCGGCGATCGATCAGCCGCGCGCTCCGCGCGCGGCCGGTGGCGCCGCGCCGCGGCGCGCGCGCGAAACAGCCGCCGTCGGGCGGTAATTTAATTCCGGTGCGATGTCCTCTCGCCCCTCCCCTTCTCTCGCATATCCAACTGTCGCGATGACGCGGTGTGCGATGATGTATGTACTGTACATTATTTATTGCCATAAACTATTTGCGTCCACTTCTACCATTGTGGATTAACTTTAATATCGGTTCAACTTATAGCGTTTTCGATTTTCTGACTCGGAGTCGGGTCGAGTCAGCAAATCGAAAACGCTATTACTTCTTGTCCCTTTCTAATTCTAGGGCCCGGTTTCGCCGAATGTCGCTTAACTTTGATCTTACCGGAGAGAAACCCGAGAGCGGCCACGCCGGCGGTTTACTTGTTGCCGTTTCAAGAGACTATTTTGCGCGCCTTATTTGCGCCCATTTTTACTTTTGCAACTATTTTGCTACGCGTCTTCTGACACTGTCGATAAAATCTCCACTTTGTGCGCGTCCATGCCTACGTCTATTTTTCAGGATTGTGCTGTGAAATTCAAAATTACATTAACATAAATTATCTGCGTGACATTTACATCAACTTTTCTCAAGTAGACAATGTAAATTTTTTAAATTAGATGTCAGAATGCACAGCACAGACACGCACCGAGTGGAAATTTTATCGGCAGAGTTGGAAAATGCGCAATGAAATGGTTCCAAAAGTAAAAATGGGCGTAAGGGCGCGCAGAACCGTCTCCTGAAACGGTATCAAGTAAAACGCCGGCGTGGCGCCGCTCTTAGTTTTCTCTCTGGTTTAATTCATGCTTGTCTCTTTCTAAATTAGATAAAAAAAATTAAACCGAGATTAAAGTTAATCTGCATTGGGTGGAAATGGACGTAAGAAACAGAAATAGAATCTTATGCATACATGCTGCGGCAAAATGAAGGAAGCGTCGCCGTTCGACGCGTAAATTATGAACATTTTGAAACGCGCGTTTCCGACGCTTCCGTCCGTTTCAACTATTTACGCGCCGCAGTCATGAAACAATTCCTCGTTATTGATCGTGCACTCGGCGTCATGAATGCTTTAACGTTCGCGCGAGCATCCATATTGAAATTCTCTCTGCGCCCGGTCGCCGCGTCCGACGTCCAATAAGAGGCTCCGCTTCCTAGGGAAATTCTCGTCCCCGGGCGAGATCCCCAGAAGGCGCGCCACCCGATTGGTCGCGGGGAACCGGCCGCGCACGCGCGGTGCCGCCCGCGCGGAGCGTAACGTACCGCGGGCGCAATATGGCGGCACGTCGCTCTCTCGGTGTTGGTTGCGACAGCGCTCGTCGGGATCGTCGGATTCGCGGCCGTGGGAGATCGTGAACCGCCCCGTTCGCGGGTGGCCCTCTCGTGCGCGGCGACCCCTGTCGCTCTCGCAAAAGGACGCGACGCCGGCGTGACGGGCGAGGACGTACGAAGCGCGTCGCGTCGCGTCGCACCGTCGCCGCGGCCAGAGTCCCTTCGGTAACTCCAGTTTGCTCCAGTTATCCCGTCGCCGTGACGCGCGTCGCCTCGCAGCCGCCCGTCATGCATCGAGCGACCCGCGCGTCGTCCCACCGCGTGGGCAATCGCGCCGTCGGCACCGCGAGAGGTAAGGACGCGCCGCACGACGACGCTCTCGCTCAGGCGTCCCGTCGCCGGCCGCGCGGCAGGTTATGTTTTCACTGGCTCTCGCTTCCTCCCTCGCTCCATCTTGAACGCTGTCGCAGGCGGCGACGCTCCCGGCCTCTCCCCCCTCCTCCCCGTGATCCTCCCGTCCCGCTCCGCTCCGCTGTGCGTGTTTCTCGGCGCGCGCGACGCTCATCGTCCGCCCCGATGCCGCCGAGCCTCGCGGCTCGTTGATGTCGCCCGGCGACGACGAGTCCTCCGTTTCGCCACCGCGCGCGGAACCAGGAGACTAGAGCGTCGGGTTGCAACTCTAAACTAACATGGAGTACGATGATTACAATCAGTTCTGCACGGCGATTCCGCCTGGGGTACAGTCGCGATTCTTGTAGATTTCCCCGACATTTTTTCAATTTTCTTGATACCTCACGAATTACCTAGCTCTGTACATTTTAGCTCGTCGGATCATCGTTCTTTTTTTTTCCCTTTTGTCGGAGCAACGAGTTCCTTAGAGTTGTTTATAAATTTAACTTGAAGCTCCAGGCGCGATTGTTTATGCGACTTAAATGTTTTTTATGATAAAGCTTCACTTTGAGTTTCAGGCGTCATTGTGTATGCGACTTGAATGTTTTATAATTTGTGTCATTGACGCAGGAGGACGGAAGCATGGAGTTGAAAAAAACGTAGCCAAGACGTCGCCCTTAATTGTACAAAGTAATGACGCGAGTTTACCGGTGAAGAAGGAGAACGAGCTGGATACCGTCAGACAGGCGACAAATAAATTTGACCCGGTCAAAAAGCAATCCGTACTGAAAACGTGCAAATCTCCCATACATGTAACTTACTTTCGTAGTCAAGTAAGTATCGCGTTGAAATTTATAGCAGAGGAAAGTTCCTTACTATGAGGTAAGCTCCTAACGTGAGATAGCGGAGTTTCTGCTAAATTAATAGGCGTCGTCTGTTGATTCCATCGTGAATTCATTGCCCTCAGGATGAAGTCTGTTTAGTGGAAGATTCACTGTTGAATCGTATAATCGTTGCGAAAAAAGTTATAACAAAGACCTGCTACCTCGTATTAGAAGCCTATCTTGTAATGAGGGATTTTCCTCTATCTCTATCTTCTTCATTAATATTTACACGAATGAATAAATAAAGAGTAACGCCACGTACTGCGGCGTTTTATTCATATTTCATTCGTTACAGGCTCTAAATGGCGAAGTTACAAAAGGAAAGGGTCCGCTCGCCCAGTATTTTTTCGATAATGCTGTTTCGACTTGTGTTCAAGTAAAGGAGGAAAATACCTCTTACGTAGAACAATTCAAAACAGACGGTATATAGTTGCAATTCTGTTCATATCAACGTCAGCCTTTCTCTCGTTTTAATTTGTAATACACAGATTGATTTTTTTTCTTTTAGAGACACCAGTAGCTGTTCCAATTTGTACGCCTTCTACGCCACATAAGATAAAGATGCCGTCGGAAGACATAGATGAAGAAAAAGATGCTACAATTACTACCAAGGAAAAGCAATCTGTGATTACATTACTGAGCCCGTTACAAGTGAAGAAGCCAGCTCCGCGTGGACGTAAAAAAGGAATCTCCAATCAGTCTCTCGCTTACCGTCCGTCGAAGCTGCCGGGCATTCAAACGAATCATTCGATTACGGACTACTTTCCAGTGCGCCGTAGCGTGAGGAAGAGCAAGAAGGTTGTATTAGAGGAGAAACAACGTGATCTAGAAAATAAGGTGCTCTGCCAGGTGGAGGATGGTTTAAAGGTAAAGATCTATGCGCGATCAAGATCCGCAGAGACTTCGGTCTAACGTTTCAAACGCGTCAAACCAATTACGCCGATTAATTTTCTATCGCAGATCAGAAACTTTCCGGGCAAAGGTCGCGGTGTCGTAACGACACGGGAGTTTGCTAAAGGCGAGTTTGTAGTGGAATATGTCGGCGAGCTGATCAATCAGGGGGAGGCGAAGGAGCGCGAGGAGATGTACGCGCAAGATCAGAACACTGGATGTTACATGTATTACTTTCAGCATCGTAACCAGCAGTACTGGTAAGAGACTCCTGGATCTTGACAAGAGAATCGTTCTCTTCATGGAGCGGCCTATAATAATTTCGATCGGGACAGACGAAAACATCGGCACGTATGATTTTCAGCGTTGACGCGACCGCGGAGACGAAGAAACTTGGCAGATTGGTGAACCATTCGAGGACCGGCAACCTGATCGCGCGGATCGTCGAAGTCAATTCAACACCGCATCTGGTACTTACGGCCAAGGAGGACATACCGATCGGCGTGGAGGTCTCGTACGATTACGGGGACCGAAGTCGCGAATCCATTCGTCATCATCCATGGCTGGCGTTATAGCACCTTCAATTTACTATTTATACGACGTCGCGTTACATTGTACAAAAGATTCATTTCATTCACGCTCTTCCCACGAAGGGACTCCATAGCGCGAATTATATTAATACGCCGAGTTCTGTACAAATTATTTTCGCAGCGAGGCGCGTCTTCGTCCTTCGTGCACGCGGCCTCGCGAGCTTCTAGCTAGTAAATTTCAAATACGTTTCTACGTTACTCTGCGAAATTGATTCGTTCGACTAGTGAAAGAGAATTATATTAAATTGTTGAGCGTGACAGTTACTTGTTCACTTGCGTTGGAAGAGCAAAGTGTGGTTTGTGCGTAACACCTAAGGGTTTGATGTAATTTATTTATATTAAGGAAAAATTATATCTAAAAGAGAGGAAACGATATTTCTGTCTTGGTGTTAAACGTCCGACGTATTACAGTATTACCAATCGGATTAGAACCTTTGCATTCGGTATTTAAATTGCGTAATCGTGACAAATCGTAGCGTGCGCGCTTCATCTAGTTCCGGACCTCGTCTATTGACGATCGAGCTTGAATTTTCCACATACTAGACCAAGAGTTCCTAGCTGAAGCGATTGTGATACGCAGCTGCGAGAATGACGTGTCCCTCTCTCATCCTCCGAGAAAAGAAAAAGTATATAACGTATATGTAACCACATGATATGACTGTCGGCAAAAGAGATCTTTTTGTTCCAAGTATTTGTGCGACATACAATAGCTTTGAGTGCTTCACTGCCACACACTTAGGTGCGAGGAACTTGGTTTCTCGAAAGACAATTGTACATACATATAGCTATACAAATGACACGTGCGAACATACTCCTCGATTGTTTATGTATATTCCGGCTTCCTTGAAAATAATCGTGCTAAGAAAGAAACGGAGACAATCGTCACATTTCTCATTCTCATTTCGTTATCAATTATTTATAGCACACACACATGAGCGCATGCATTATTATTTAATATCAGGGTT